AGAGCAAAGCTGTATCTTCAGGGCTAGCACCAATGCCAACTGCTGCACTCCTTACGTGGAGTCCCTTCAGAAATAGATCACTCCCAGCAAAAGCTGACCTCGTTCCGACTTCGGTGACACACAGACTGCCCTATGCTTTCCCCCACAGGTAATTTTTCATTTCCTATAGAACAGGTTAGGCGAAGGCTGACTGATGTGGTGATAAAACTACTTCTGGTTCTAAGAGGCTTTACCAGCATTTCCTATCAGTTCAGCAAGAGGTTCATCTCCTTTTCATGTCCAATGAATCAGGAGCTAAAATGCACACAGGGTAGGCCATGGTTTCTTTTACTAGGAGGACAAAACTTTAAGTACAATACCTGGAAAGTTACTACAAAGACTCTGCTTCTGTCCTCATTTTTTCACTGAAGCAGTCAGCTGAGCAAAGGACTCTACCACAGCTTTCAGATGATGGGCAGCTCTGCTCCAGTATAACTCATCCAAGGCCTCTGACTAAACAAGACCCCTGAGGTGATACAGACCTAGGACCCAAAAGCAGTGAATGCACTGCTTTATTATCCACAGACACAAAGCCCAAGGAAAACAGACTCCTTTCCAGAAATCAAGGCAGACCATGCACAGCCAGTCAAAAGCTATAATAGTAGCTGGCTCTGGAGCCCTCCTGCTGTGCTGCCATGTGAGAGGTTCCAATACGATCTTGAACTCCTGAGCTGGCAGCACCCCAGCTTGTAGGAGAGACAACATCTTGTCTTGCTCCCAGGCAACTCTCTTGGGTCACTGCAGGAGTGGTCTTAACAGCCTCTAAAGGTTCCCTAGCCCACACACCACTAGCAACAATGAAGAGCGTGTCTACTTTTGTAGGATGTGGAAGACATGTTTATGTATTTGTGTATGGCCATTTCATGCCTGTGATCTCTAAGGGTGATAAGAAAGCTATTGAAAAGCCCAGTGACCATTCCAGAAACAGCCTAAGCCTGGAAGGGACAGACTAGCTTTTCCATACCTACAGTTCAGGAGGTCAGTATACCACACACAGTCTGGAAACTCAGGCCATAGCTTCTTCTCAATTTGATGCTGCTCTTCGTGCTTTTCTTTCTCATTTTACTTCCCTGTGGTTTCCTTTTCTGGGCTCAGCACTGACAATGCTGGCACTAGAGTGCGCCCTGCTGGAAGGCAGCAGCTACGGCCATCCTAGGATTATTTCTAAGGATGGCCGACTTCAGTTTTAACAGAGAAATTCAGGTACCGATGCTGTAACTAATAACCCACTGAGACAGCTACTGGGTTCGAGTCTCATAATTGAAAGCAGACTGTTCTGGTGCACATTAATTTGTTTTACTCCTTCTGTACCACTGTTATAGAGCTTATTTGTCAAAACCACTTGTGTAAGTGGCAGGTAACTCCATGGGATAATGTAGCTCAGTTTCACAGATTTACTGAGCCTAAAGATTACCTCTTCTAACCAGGAATAAGATAGCTGTGAGCCACATGAAGTATTTCAGTCTACATTTTGGCTACCTCTTTTCTTCCTTGCTAACACGAAGCAGTGCCCTCTCATTCATTATGGGTCTTTTAGTTTGGATTTCAGTGAGACAGCTTGAAAAGCCTTGTCCCCGTGTGGCTCTTGGCAGGCTAAGAAGTAAAGTGCTCTTACTCTCAGCTTTCACAGAGCTGGGGAGGTGCTGCTTATTGTTAAGCAATGAAAGGGGAGGGCTCAGGTCACATCTGTGAAATGTTAGCAGAGAAGGGAGGCTGGGTGAAAGTAGGTGGCCAGCACAGCATAGCACTTTGCTGGATTTTGCAAGGCCACTGGGGAGATAGGCAGCCATTTGTCTTAGAGCCCTGATAACGGGCAGACTTGCTCTCTGCTGGCTAGCTGAGGGTTGTAAATACCTCTGCAGACACAGACTCTTCAAATGGCTGTAGACGAGGCTGATAGGGGATTAATCGCCTGGAGGTGGGGTCAAAAGGGAGTTAATTAGCTGTGTTAATGCATGGAGATAAAGCAGGTTTCTGCCTCTTCACCTTCTTCTTTCCAGCACCTGGGTTTTTGGGCAGCCAAGATGGGGCAACTAGAATGGCTCTTGAGAGCGACCAAAGGAAACTATCTCCCACTTAGAAATGCAACCTCTCCATCTTCAAAGACCCGTTAAGTACCAGCTTTTGCTAAACCGATAGTGTGCTAATGAAGCTCAGAGGACAGGAGGTTAGTGTTCTAACCCAGGCTACTGTTCAACAAGTTTACAAAAAAGTTAATGGCAAAAGTATTCAACCAAGGAAATAGCCACAGATCCCTTTGTCTGTAATGCTGTATAAGGAATGCTCCAAATGCAGTTTGGGGTGAAGAAATAGAGCTACAGACTGAGTAGCTGTCATTCCCTCCACAGTCAAAATGGTAAAGAAACTGAAATGCTCTTCTGTCTAGGTACTATAGCTGAATCTTGAAACAGCAAGTAGACAACTCACTATGATCCGCCCTGCCGCTTTATACATATTTAGAATAATACTATAAAGTCTCCACCAGCATTACAGTCAGCAATTACATTGAAAGGTCTCAGCTCCCCAGTTTGGCCTTCACAATGGACAATGGTAAGTCAAGAATCTACTCGGTCCTACTTTGAGCCCTCATGCATCATAGTCCAGAAAGCAAAGCCTGTGCTTAGAGTCACTGTCTCAGGGACCCACTGTCACCTTTGTGTTGTTGTCACTGACAACGAAGAAGCCCATGATCACCCTCCATGGCTGTTGTCAAATTTACAGCCAGGTGTACCCCGAAATCGTCTGTTCTGGACTCCTACACACCACTGCTCATTAAACTGAACCCAGTTACTCATATCTTGGACTAACAACTTATATTTGCATTTGGCTAAAACACAATTCCCAGGAAGACATCCAGCATGATGTTAAGATGCCAAGAGACACAGACCCTCCATTGCCCTTGCTCGGCTGGTAATCATTTCACTGTTCAAATTTGTACGTAATTTTTCACTTTAGTTTTTCTAGCTATAATTTTCAGCTGCTGATTCGTGTTATGCCTTTTTTCTCTGCTACACTAAATAGATTTTAGTACCTAAGAGTCATTCTCCTGTTATTTTCTGCAAGATAAACAGATTGAACTGTTTATGTCTCTTACCAGCCCTTGAGTCATTTTGTGGCTCTTTTCTGCAACTGTCCAGTTTTGCAATGTGTAGTAATCCAGTTATGATTCCACTAGCAGTAGATGCAAGAGTAAAGTCTGTATAGCCTGTTCCTATTCGCTACACCCTTGTTTGTATCTATAGATCAAATTAGCCTTCAAGTCTCGGGATCAGACTGGGAGCTGGTGTTCAGTGCGTTGTGTCTCGATTTCCTTTTTCAGCCATAGCTTCCAAAATACTATTCTTACATTGCAGACTTCTGGTCCCTGCTCTTAGATATGTGACTTTGTAGGTAGCTACATCAAAGTGTGCTTTCTTTAAGTGAGCCCATTTTACCAGATCTCTGTAGCCGCCCTGCTCTTGTCATTATTTGTCTCTCCACCAATCCCCTACTTCCAGATCACTTAAAAATAGGTTGGAGAATATCAGTACTGGCACTGGTCCCAGCTGAAGCCCCCTCTGACCCCTTCCAGAAACACACTTGTTCAGTGACTTCTGAATCATTATCAGTACCATTGGTGGAAATGACAATGTTTTCTTTTCTTCTCAATATAGTTAGAAAAAAAAATCCTCCTTACATTTGTCATGGATTACTCCAGGATAACCCAGCTTCCTTTGTCATTTTTTACTCATTGTAAATTTCAATTTGTATCAATCATTTGTTGTTCCCACTTTAATGTATTTCCTTTTATATTGATTTTTACATTCTTTAAAAATTTAAATTATTTAAATTTAAATCTTACTCTTATTTAACAGTGAACTGTGATAGGCTTTCAACCAAATGCAGCTATTTATTGACTGGGAGTCATGACTTTTGAATAAAGTCTTCTATATAAATCTTATTTCCACTCATATCTCTTCCTATCTACATTTTTCTTTTCCTTTGCCTAGGACACACCTCCACTCCTGCATCAGTTTATAACAGTGCCCTGTTGGGGTCCCATATCTCCATATCAAAGTGATTTAAGTCAGTATTCTGTAACAAACTTTCAGAGTCAGGTTACTGCTTTACTGAACCACAGTTTGAAAGCTCAAAGAACTGAATTCTCCATCCCATTTTACTTCCAAGCTTTCCATTCTACACTACTACCTTAAGCTTTCTCCCATCCCCTTCCTTAATCCTTGCAGAATGTATCATTGCCTCATCCAATACCATGGTCACAGTAAAACCATCCTTCCCTCTCCCTTTTCACTTTCCCTATCATGTCAATGCCTGACAAGTGACTATTATTTCATATCTACACAACATTAGGTCATCAAGTGAAAATGCTGTAGGCATGCTAGGAATTACTGCTATTTGCTTTGCCATTCCATTATCTGCAAGCCCATGTAAAACTGCCACAACTCTAGTTCCTGAAATGCTATCGCCCAGGGTGCTGAACTCCATGCAGCAGAAAAGACCACACTGGCAATCTGCCAGGAGCTGAAAGGCTACATCTAATTGTGCATAAAGTTGAGCAGATTGTCTGCTTAGACTAGAGCAAACAAGCTTATCTTTAATGCAGACATATGGCAGCAAAACCTACAGATCCCAGCATGCAACATTCTGGCCAGCTGGCCATTTGGATCAGAATGAAGCATTACATGATCTGATACTGTGGTAACAGAAGATCAGTATCGCAATCAGTCCATGTTCAAAAAACCACTCCATGTCCAAACTCAAACTCATGAGTTTGGCTCAAAAAGCTGAAGACTTTAAGAGTGATAAACCAACTGAATTTGCTTTGGAGACAGGATTCACATTCTCCCACTTTTCTCTACAATCATTTTTTTTAAATGTGGGTTTTTAATAAAAGCTAAGTCACAGTCACTTGTCTCTGGGAGCTGAGACATCAAGAAAAAACAGACAGACTCACAGTATGATTAGGGGAGGAGCAGCAACATATTCTGAACTCTTAAAGTGCACAGATAACCCAATAGACACACACACAGAATCTGGAAGGTGCAATCATGACAGGTACCACTGGTAAAGATAAGAGTGGCAGACAGTTTTGTTACAAAACTCCAGGTTTTCCAATCTTGCACTAAATTCTCCGCTTTTACCATCGTTTCCCTTATTCAGCCTGGATTTAACTTCCTTTCTTCCCACCTCTCAGCTGTCATATAAAATGTTCTCTCTGCCTCCAACTTGCCATTCTGTAAGACACCTCTGCTCTCCTATAATGACACACCATACATTTTATGACAGTTACCCCCTTGACAGCCGTCACAGAGGCTCAGTCTCCAATTTATAAAGAAAACTATTCCAACAGAGTTGTTACTTTTAGACAAGTTAAGATTAGCCCTTAATCTCTCAGTCCTGTTCTTCAGGTCTTTTAAGGTGCTTTTAAGGAAATTCTAGCCAGTGCAGGCTAGAAGCATCACTCAGATGTCACTCACCCCCAGTCCACTTCATGCACATTTGTTGAGGGCAGAGACAATTCTGACTTCAGATACAGTTCTAGATACAACAGATTTGGGAATTCCTACTTCTGCTCTGACAATAATTGCTCAAGAGAAGATCTAGCCAGGGAAGGGAAGAAAAGTTTCAGGTCAAAATGAAGGGATTTGACAGAGCTATGAACAATCAATGTGTCAGGAAATACAAAATGCACTGTCTGCTCTGGGTCGGGACCAACACACACTGGCAGAGCTGAAGGAAGGTAATCCAAGAACCAGCAGTTGAGTGCCTTGCAACCAGAACTGAGTGACTTTGGCAGAGCTATGCTGATAATATCAGCAGAAAGCCTGTGTCTGCCCTCCATTCTTTCCCCCACACACACATTTTCACAAGTAACCGGTACTTTAGGCAACTTGAATGCTTGTCTAAAGGGAGGGTAGGTTGTCCTTTCTTTAATGTTAGAGCTCCTGTCTGCATGTGATAAGAATGCAGTTAGAGAGGCTACATGCTTTGCTGATCCTGTAACCAGTTCATGTCTTACTTCCTTCACCTGACAAGCTCATTCCATCAGTCCTCAGGTTCAGTCCAAAAAAGAGCAGGACAGAGCAGCCAGAGCTGCATAGGCACCATGATGAATCTTCTTTGCCATTAAGAAGCACTCCACTTCCCTTGAGCTCAGGTAGTCTTTGAGAGGTAATTTTTTTGAGGAGGCTGAAATCTGCACTAACAACCACAGCCTCCCAGGAAGGGGACAAAGGTTCACAGTAACACAGACCTCAGGTTGCCTCAGGGAAGACAAACATGACAACAGCACAGCTGAGCCACATATTCTATCTGCCACAGGGTAAAATACAGCTATAAGTCAAATTTGATTTAAAGACTTCAACAAAACCACCATCTTCATGTCTAACATGACTTGCCAGTTGCCTGGTCCCTTGAACTAGATGTGAAACACTGCAGAATAATATCTGTAATCTTTCAAAGGTGGCTAAAATCAGTTCTGTGATGCAAATCAGCCTTCAGGCACTTAGCCCTTGGTGCCTGCATTCTAGTAGAAACATAGAAAGCACCACAGATTCATCTCCTGCTGCAACAGGTTTGTAGTTTCAGGCCTCACAAAACCAAAAACCTCTCTACCACAAACCCTAAGAAAAAAGGGAGAGAGAGGGAAATACAAACTGTAGCAACACCTAAACTACCATAAGAAACTGCAGCTAAAGTTTTCTTAGGAGTTAACTAGTACTAAGCCCCCTTGCAATACTCATTTTTTGAGACAAAAGGGCCAGCTGATTGAGCCAGTGTATGTAAAAATGTGCAGTCTCTCCAGACTGCACCTCTAGAAAATGACTGCCACAAGGACATTCCCACAAAGTTGAACAATGGCTTAGATTTTCTTGCTGTTTATGCTCTGAACAGTCAAAAATGTTCAGAACACAGGCAGAAGCTCACTAGGTTCAGTCTTAGTTTTTGGGTTTGTTTGTTTTTTTTTTCCAAAGGAAAGACTGGAATATATATATATATATATGTATATATATATGTAAAGTCTGAGAAGCTATTTACAGTACTGGCAATGCACCATCCTTCCAGCCAATTCCATCTGGCACTGGTCACCTACTATCCTATCTTGCTACTTCAGGATAGGAAAGAAATAGCAAAGCTAAGTTCTGACTGTGTCCCAGACTCTTTCTAGACAGCAGAATGTGAAAATACTTGGCCCAATTAAAAAAGAAAATAAAAAAAAAAATACAGCAAATCAGCAAAAAGCAGTTAGAAGCAAATAACAACTTGTTCCCATCTCTTTAGAGAAAGATTCTGCCAGACATCCCTAGAGGAGGCTTTAAATATATTTAACGGTTGTCCAGCAGAACAGTACAGATGTGAACTGAAGATACATTCCAGTATGCACATCTTTCTTTCTCCTTCCACGGTGAGTAATCCTGCTAAAGTACAGATTATTCCACACTGCAGCACTTCTATCAGAGTTTATCAAAGGAACTTCTGAATTCAGCCTCTCAAAGATATCAGCTTAGTGTTAATGACAGCCCATTTAGATAAAGAACAGGAATAGTGGGGTGGGACAAGAGGTTTGAATTACTTCAAACCATATAAATTCCCTCTATCAGTGGTGGAGTTCTCTCTCCCCAGAGGAACATCAGCTACCACAGGCTTTACAGAAGTGAGGCCAGAATATGGCATTCAGGCAGAAGGAATAACTGCTGGTGTGGTCCGACCTGTGGAAGGATGCGACAGCTGTGGTACACTTACATCTTACCATTGTAAGCCTTTATAATTACTTAAAAAAGGAATTAAATACAATATGTAGTAAAGGATAAAGTTCCTTTACAGATTTGCATAAGCAAATACCAACTCTACAGTAACCCACACCTTGTTGCCTTGGCATTTCCCACACTACTCAGACTGCCTTTCATTTCATTGTAACTGTAGATTCTGCTACCTTTACCTTGTGGGATGTCATGCTCCAGAGAGTCTAGAAAGTCGGTGGATGGGTCCAGATCAGCCTTTTCCAGCAGAGTTTTATTCTTCAGATTAACAGGCTCAGTAAAATGGAAATAGGAACTTAATTTTTTTGCCTCCGTGAACGAAAGACCTGCAAACAGCCATTGGTGACCATTAATACAGCAAGCTAGGCTAACATTCACTATATCAACAAATACCATATTGTTTCTCTAACACCCACAGCGTAGGACAGAATCACAATCTCTCTTTAGTGGACTCCACAGAAGATCAAAGACTTGCCAGAAACAGGGCAGCAGCACTCCCTGATACTGTGCATTGCAGACCATGCTAACTGCAGCTCAGAGAAGCAATGGAGACTGAATTGAGACCAACCCTCTGTGCCCATTTGCTTGCATCCTGTATCTAGATGGAGAATTCACTGCAGCTATAATTGCTAAACACCGACATAAACTATACACAGACAAATGGAACTACAGGTTTAATGACTCAGAGCCATTACTAACTCTCCTCCCACCTTCCAGAGTTGAATCATGCACCTGAATATTAGCGGCATTGAATTCTCTCATCCCATTCATCTTACCCAAGGAAAAAATAAATCTGAAATCAAAACATCAACTAGAGAAAGTCATCTTAATTTACAGCCTTTATGATCAAAGTACAGTTGATCCTGATAAAGAAAATGGGACTTTACCTTCAAAGTTTCTGTTTTCATGCACAGACCCAAGAGGAGTCTTCACAAATGCCCCCCGGGGGATGATACCAACTGCTCTGTCTATCTGTTCTATCGTAGCCACAAGGCGGACCTCCTCCTTGATCGAGGTCTTTAAAGTAAAATAGGCAAATTTTAAAGGCAAGGACTAGCCTTGTTGTCATTTCTGAAAATAAACTCGAGGTGACAGCAGAAACCACAACTGACTCATCATCTTGGAGCCCAATGGCACTAAGAGTAGGACCTCAAACTGGACATTCTTCTCATGAGATGACAGCAAATGTGGCTAGGAGCAGTGAGGACCCACCAGTGGGCTAACAATCCCTCCCTCCATCCCTTCTTCCCTCTCAATTAAGCTACTTATGACTTGTCTATTCATTTATAAGCAATGGTGCCTGCATTCCTATTAAAGCTTCAGAAACTGCAGTGAGAACCTGTACCAGTTGTGCATAATAAAACATAAGGGAGATATAGTATTTCTGAGCCATGTCTTAACTCCAGCAGTAACTGAAATAAAAGTTCAATCAAGAAGCTGTTGCTACACAATGACAGAAAAGAGAAAATTGGATATATTTTGCCTGAGCTCAGGCTGCTTATTACAAACAAGGAGGAGGAGCCACCACCTGTCCAGTGTGAGGGGTACAACTGTAGCAAAGACAGTTCAGACGTGTTTTGCTGTATTTACCTCCTTATCACCTTCAATCAATTTCTCACCATCTTCTGCGTTTTTCTCAGCAAACTCATACGCAAAAGAAGGATCTCCCTGGAAGCGGCCCGTCAGCTGCTCAGCCTGCGCAATCATCTCCTTCGTCACTGGTGGCAGGAGGCTCCATTCCACGCAGTTCAAGCTGCAGCGCAAGCATGACACAGGCCTGAGCTCGCGGAAGAACCCGGATTAATGCAGCCTTGCCAGGCCCCTCAGGGGACAGAGAATCCCCCTCCAGGGGAGCTGGGCAGCCTGCCCTGGCTCCCCAGTCCCCTCTCTTCTCCCACCAGCTCCCAGGCCGCACCTCCCCCGCTCCCAGGTCGTTCCCTGCACGGAGCCGCGGTGAGGCCCGGCCCGACCTGCGCACCTGTAGAGGCGGCTGCGGGGCGCGGCGCGGTCGGGGCCCAGCCCCTCGGTGATGTAGTAGGCGCCGCGCACGCCCTGGATGCAGCCCCAGAACCAGACCCGATCGAAGCGGTAGTCGCGCTGTAGGAGCAGCAGCGAGGACCCCAGCACCGCCCGCTTCTCCGGGCTCAACCCCGCGCCGCCGCCGGCCGCCAGCTCCAGGGCAGCGGGCAGCGACGCCGCGTCCATGGCGGCCCCGCGTCGCCGTTGCCAGGCAACCGTCGGTCGGGCTGGAAGGCTAGGGTCAAAGGTGAGGACGTGCTTCCGCTGCAGGGAACGGTCCCAAAACGTCCATCAAAGTCAGCGCCCTGGCAGAGGCCCGGGGGAACGGCGCTGCCATGGCAACGGCGGGTCCCGCCTCTCCGCTGCCATGGAAACGGTGCCGCTGGGCGCAGGCCGACTATGGCGAGCACTCGCTGCTGCCTCTGTGCCCGCTGGACGGCCGGTGCCGTGCCTTCCCACAGCGGCGCTGAGGACCTGAGGAGGGGGGTCATGGACTCATAGAATGGTTTAGTTTCGGAAAGACCTGCAAAGATCATCAAGTCCAACTGTTACCGCAGGATTGCCAAGGCCGCTGCTAAACCATGTCACTCCAGACCCTTCACCAGCTTTGTCGTCCTTCTCTGGACCCACTCCAGCACCTCAACATCTCTCTTATAGTGAGGGCCCCAGAACTGAGCACAGGATTCGAGGTGCAGCCTCACCAGTGCCAAGTACAGGGAGGTGATCATTTACCTGGTCCTGTTGCCCACACTGTATCTGATACAGGCCTTCTTGGCTGCCTGGGCACAAGCTGCTCATGTTCAGCTCTGACAGTTAGCACCCCCAGGTCCTTTTGCACTGAACAGCTTTCCAGCCACTCTTCCCCAAGCCAGGAGCGTTGCATGGGGTTGTTGTGGCCCAAGCGCAGGACCTGGCACTTTGCCTTGTTGAACCTCATACTACTGTCCACAGCCTGTCCAGATCCCTCTGCAGAGCCTTCCTACCCTTCAGCAGATCGACACTCCCACCCAACTTGGTGTCGTCCACACATTCACTGAGGGTGCCCTCAATCCCCTCATCCAGATCATCAATGAAGATGTTAAACAACACCGGCCCCAATACCAAGCCCTGGGGGACACCACTAGTGACCAGTCACCAACCAGATGTGACACCATTCACCACCACTCTGGGCTCAGCTGTCCAGCCTGTCTTTAACCCAGAGAAGAATCCACCTGTCTAGGCCATGAGCAGACAGTTTCTCCAGAAGAATGCTGTGGGAGACAGTGTCAAATGCTTTACTGAAGTCCAAACAATGTCCTCAGCCTGTCCCTCATCAGTGGGGAGAGTCACCTTATCATAGAAGGAGATCAGGTTGGTCAAGCAGGTCACAGCGAGGAGGCTGTGCACTATCTGCGAGTCTGCCATGGCCTTCCTCTAGAACCACAAAAGAGAAAGCGGGGCCCTGGAGAGCTCACAGACAGATCTGGCTGTAAAGCTAACCCTGTCAGGAGCCCCAGAGACACTGACAAAGCAACGCGGTTAGAGGTGACTGACCTGCATAGGTGTTCCTCAATTTCAAGAGGCCTCAACCCAAAGGTAAGTCCCAAAAGGAGGAGGGCATACAAATGTATTGCACTTTAGCTGGAATACCATAAGCAGCTCCAAGCTCCATTTGCCTTGTTTCTTGAACAACAGGGAAAAAAAGAAAGAAAACAAACACCTTTGAATCTCATTATTTAGTCTCATTTTTATGGATCTTATTTAGCTCATGTACACCTATAAATAAATTGCTTATTTATGAATGACTGTATTTGGATCACTCTTTGGGGGCTCATTTTGCTGAATCATAAAGACAAACACTTATGAAAAAGATCCTGCCCTAAAATCTTGCAATCTGGCATAAGACACAATGCAATCAGTAATAATGAGATTGTTGAATTTCTGTTCAACATCTTCAGAAAGTTAAGCTTTGTATGTGTGCATTATATAAATAAATGTCTATGCACTTAGATTTAAATCCATTGCCATGTCATAAATTCTTGCATTTCTTTTTCCTCCATTTCCTGTTCATTTCTAAGGAAAACACTGATCCTGGGACTGCTGCCTGTAACAGTCGTCACCTCCTTGTCTGTCAAGTGAGGTGTTTCACGAGCTGTGCAGCCCACAGCCTGACCCCTTAGTTTTACTTACACCACACAAAAAGCAACTCAGATTCTTGAAGGTTAACCACCTCTCTTTGACATGAATCAGGCAGAACATGCAGGAGTGACTGCAAATATTTTGTCCTCGTTGTCACCTATCATCTTTGCTGATTTGCTCCATGGGAATAGGAACTTTCAGGCTTTGTAAAACTCATTTGATTACTGATGTCTCTAGAACTGTGCATCAACATTTTCTATTATGGCTATTATTGAGCTAAAAAACTGCAAGTAGAACTGCAAGCCAAACTCATCTCGTATGAGTCAGAGGCAACTTGAGACCCTAATGAATTTCTGCCACTGTCAAAACCTGCTGGATTCAAACCAGATGCTAACAGCTGAGAGGCTCTTTAACCTGTTATGGAGCTTCTAAGCCACCCAGTCTCCAGTCTTTGCCTGTCCTGACTGAAGATAATCAAAAAGGAAATCTATAGCTTAAGGAAATTCTTCCTGGTTCAGTAAAGTCTGGTGGGTAACTGTACTCTGCTTTGCTTTGTCTTGACCCCAATTACTAAACACTGATAAGGATCGGGAAGTAAGTGGTTGCATTATTTAACAAATGAAAGGTCAAAAGTGCTGCTATTCAACAAGGTCAAAGGTTACCATCACTGTTATTAAAGAGTTTGAAAGCAGTTTCTCCCATCGGTTGCCATTCCAGGCTCAAATGAGGAGCTGCCTCTGCAGTCGGGATGCCAGGAGAAAAGAGAGGCACCAGGCATCTATAGCCAGCTGCTGGCCAGGAGGCTTTTCTTAGAGACCTGCTTCGGGGAGGGAAAGTTCCATGCTTCAGTAACACACAGCAGCTCCTATAGCAGGACTGAGCTCTCCTGCTTCTGTACAGAACATGCACATACCTGCGTGCCAAACAGCTTCAGCTCCTCCCAGCTCCACCCTGTTAGAGCTGGCATTCTCTCAGGTGAGAAATAGAACTTTGGTTCCTTTTCACTCATCTTGGGCAAGGTAATGAAGTGCACAGAACTATTAAACATCTTGAAACACATGTAAATTACTGCTGAGTAGACAGCGGCTCCTGTGTGCTTGCACAGCTTTATAAAACATTTGAAAATAGTTTTAGTGATGTAGTAGGAAGTGAGCTCATCCTCCTTTATGTTTTTTAGTATACGTCATCTCAAAAGAAGAATACTTATTAATCCATGTCACCATTGCTGGTGGCACACCCTCAAAGTACTGTTTCAGGACCATCGCTACACTGCAGTGGACATCCATTAAGCTGACACTGCTCACAAGTTACATTGCTATCCGTCATCCAGGTCACTTCTTCAGGTGGTAGAGACGGTATGCAGCTGGTTTTGATGCAGCAAGAAATAGAGAGGGATTATTCCTCCCAGATGTGTTGAGTATAAAGTCTGATTTTACTCCCAATTACCTGAAAAGCTCGGACTGTCTCTGGCTTCAGAAACATAGCAGCTTTGAATCACTTTCCTGCATGTAAGTCATTAGTGTATAAGGACAGTAAAGATGGTAAACAAGAAAGGAAAGTAGAGAGTTTTTCCTCAACAAGCAAGACGTGATAGATGGCTGCTTGACAGAAGGGGAGGAGATTCTGGATAACAAACTAACTGTTAAACAAGCTTCAGAACTGCAAAGTGAAGCCTTGAGCTGTGTTGAGTATAAAGAAACTGGGGCCAAATAACAGTTTAACAGCAACATAAGGGACATGGAATCATCGAATGGTTTGGATTGGAAGGGACCTTAAAGATCATCCAGTGCCAACCCCCTGCCATGTCCAGAGACACCTTCTGCTAGACCAGGTTGCTCAAAACACAGTCCAACCTGTCCTTGAACACTACCATGGATGGGGCAGCTCCTCAGCACCGTCACGGTAAAGAATTTATTCCTCGTACCTGATCTAAATCTATCCTCTCTCAGTTTAAAGCCATTACCCCAGGATGTCCCTACCTCATATAGTAGAGATTTTCCTCTGTCTTGGAGATTGTACTAAATATGGCAAAACTATGGGAAATCTTTGACTGGAAACTGTTCAAACTAAAACAGTGTCAGTCTTTTGGCTTGTCTGCGACAAATGCTGTTTTCTCCATTAGTGAGACCTGAGCTAGCTGTGTGCAGTCACTGGGAGACTTGGAAAGGAAGGAACGAAGGGGAATGTGTTCTGTGGGGTGGGTTTCTCCACATCTGGAATCCTTGCAGTAGCATTCTCAGTAACAAGTCAGCAAGAAATCAGGCCAGTAGATCAGGATGAGAGCAGCTGTGCTGAGATAAAGAGAAAATCTGCAGGATGACTTCGACAAGTCTTCCCTGGAGATTGGTTTTGGCATAATCCTGGGCAGGCAGTATGCTCAAAAAGAAGTGGCTATACTGCCCTACTCAAGAAAAGACAATAGCCAAAGAGCTTTGTCATTTTGTGACGTGTCCCTAAGGTTTATTTCATGCATTTTATCACCCCCCTATCTTGCTGAATGCTCTTGACACAGTGGACAGGTAAAGGCTTTACTGGGGTAGGAAGTACCAGTGTGATGATTATATCATCTTGCCTGGTCATCACATGAGTAGCTGTGATTCTTCTACCTGGCAAATGAACACACGTCTGTCTTTGTGTTTTTGCCAGGTACCCAGAGAGTTCAGATGCAGCCTTTTGACCTTGCATCCACCATGCTGCCAGTCAAACTGCTGACAGTCTGAGTAGGAGAATGATGTATAATGGTGCAGACCTGAGTGATGTGTGAGAAAAGCATGTATCATGCCGATGATAGGATGAGTGTTGCTTGCCTACAGCCTGAGAGCTCAGAGCAGAAGTGAGGAAGTGGATCCAGGGCAGCTCTGGGATCAAAACAAATGATAAGACAGATCTCATTAACTAAAGAGGACATTTCCAGAAAAAATCCTTCTTCTCATAAGCTTTGCTTTTATTTAGGCAGAGCTTATTCCCGTTGGAGACATCTGCATCTCTCCATTTGCCAGATAGTCAGAGACCAGTGGCCTTTTCTCGTGTACTTTCTATAGCGATTGCTATTTCCAACACCCTTTTTTTGCCCTCCTCTGGAAAATACTTCCCAATCTGAAATTTCTGTTCAGACTCAGGCACCTGGTTAGAACCTTTAAAAACATGCAGGAACCAGAGACCAATTCAGGTAGAGTGGGTGGCCTGACTGTGCCCTCCAAG